GGGGGCGGGATACCAAGCATCACTATAAAGCGTTTTAAAATGTTAATTTATCTAAATATCCTTTTTTTGGTCTTTTTTTTTTTTTTTTTAGATTTTGACAAAGTTCTTCACAATAAATAAAAAAATATAACATATAAGACCGTCAAGTTCCAATGCCCAGGCTTTATTTTTCTGATTCTTACAGAGCCTGGTACTTATACAATCACATAACGGCGTCTTAAATACGCAGGACATCACGAGGGGGTCATGTGACTGCAAAATGTTCGTGAGTACAGCAGTTTATTAAATGACGCTATTTAGAAGGTGCCCTGCATACTAGAATGAAATTAAATGCTGCTAATATGTGTACATCAGTTCAGTTCTTTTGGACTAGTGCGTGATTAACTATTGGTTACGCTAAAACAACTGCAACAACTACAGCGCTGCTAACTTTTTTTTATCTACAGCAAATCATTTGTGATAGACACATGTTACAGCGGCGCCATCGACGGCAACATTTCACCTGAAACAGAAATATATACAATAAGAAAAAGGAGCAATGGAATAAATTTATCTTTAAGTTTCAATGTGTGGAATGTAACGCCATGAATTTATATTAAAAAAGCGTTGATACGGGTCTTGAAGATAGATATATTCACATGGTAAAGAGCTTTCCCTGTAATTTCGCCCACTTCTTCATGTCCGTATCAATAAATATCTGACATGAGTTTAATGAGCAAATTAATATAAAAAAACAGGTTTTCCCCCAAAAAAGACGCATTTTTAACTTCAGTTCTGTTACAATTATATGATTTTTTTTTCGGAAATTATGGATACGGCATTTTGCACTTCATTCACTTATTCAATGGACGGTTTTGCCTAAAAATATGACCTGAATATACAGTATAACAAGACCTGTTTAATATTCTTTGTGTTTTCTTGTGGCTCATTTGACCATGACCCATTCAAGGTAATAATGTATACAATTTTACATTTTACGCACGCTCACACACAAATACACTAACACAATTATATATATATATATATATATATATATATATATATATATATATATATATATATTTATATAACATATGGTTAATCTTAACACTTATCATTGAAATACATAACTATTACCCTTTCAGCATCGGGGACTTCATAGGGCACCGTTTCAACGGATTTTATAAGCTCCATTAACTCTCCTTGTTTCTCTTCTCGGTCTTCCCAGTCACTGTTTTCTACACACCATATTCGTTCGCTGCAATCTTTATGAATACTCTGAAATGTTTCTGGCGAATTGGCAATAAATTCATTGATGGTGGTGTTTTTCTGTTTTATGTCATCAGCAAATGTAAGCACAATGATACTTTTCTGAAGGAAATTGTCTCCGAAAATGTTGCGGAACTGAGCTACTGCTTTCAGCTGCGTGCTCTTAATTCGGCCCATTTTAAACACAATCAATATTGCGTCCACGTGCTGCAGACACCTGGCTTCTTTGGATATTCTGCCCAATATCTTACGGTCACTTGTGGACAGCGATCCTAAACCAGGTGTGTCCACAACTTGGACAGTGCACGAGCTCGGTTCCTTGAGTATGAAAGACTTGTGTGCATTTTTGTCATTTTTTCCTTCATATGTCAAGTCCCCAGACAGTTTCATTACAGTTGCAGATTTCCCTTGCCCCTTATAGCCAACGACAAGGACGTTGTAGGTTTTGGTGGTCGCCCTGAAAAAAAATTCAACATTAATTATGAAAAATCGAATTGGAAAATGTGACAGTCAAAAAATTACAACAAAAGTCGCATTCAAAACAAGTGATCCGCAAACTAAATACGGTTGACCCCACTAAAAGCAAGTTGCATAATCCCCTGATGGCCTCCTAGCCTCTAAAGGCGCCGTTATACGGATCGAAACTCAATTACAACGTTTAATAGCTAGGCCCCCGCAGGGACGTCGCGTGTTTTAGTCGGAGACCATCGGGGTTTTAGTCGCCATTGCCTTTAATATTTAGTCCGCGGATCTGTTAGTCTGCAGATCAACATGTTCTGAATGCGCTTAAAGTCTGTTTTAAAGTGAATAAACTTTTTTATTGGTTAAATGGATGTAATCTGATTAAATTCAGTGTGCAAATAATTGAATTAAATAATGACTGAAAAGACAAAGACACGAGGAATAAGAAATGATAAACAATGCAGCTGGAAAAAAGAGTTTATGCAGGTAGATACTACTACTACTACTACTGTTACTACTACTACTACTACTACTGTTACTACTACTACTACTACTACTACTACTGTTACTACTACTACTACTACTACTACTACTACTGTTACTACTACTACTACTACTACTACTACTAATAATAATAATAATAATAATAATAATAATAATAATACCCATTTTCCATTCCAAAATATATTAGCCATGTATAATTGATAGAAAGTCATGATCTTGACAGCTATGTGCTTGATATCAGGCACAGTTAAAATTACCTGCTGAACCGAAACTACTTATTACCCGCTTTCTTAGCCCAACACTGACTCCATGCCCAACTCACTACCGACGGGTTAGAGGGGGCTTGTTATCGCGTGTGAATATATACTTACATGGCTGTTGCTGTTTGTGAGAGTACCGACGATCTATCAAAGCCTTCCAACGGATGCTTTCTGCTTTGAAAGGGAAGAGTTGTCGAATGGCTATAACTAACAAACTGCGCATGCTCCTGGGGCTTTCGGAAAGACACATCATCTGGCGATTGCACGAAGAAATCGTTATCAATACACACAGAACGCTTCGGGCATCTATCTATTTAGTTATTCTTATTTCTTCTATTTTATTATTACGATATTTCCCCGCTGTCTACACCGTCCTTAGGCCTGCTTCTCGTTAAAATTGTCAGGTCCAAGTTGTATATGGTTATTATTTTCAACACGATGACAATACACAAATTAAAGCAAATCCTACATTATTCCACAGTCTGCTTACTTTATTGATGGTATATGACGTACGTTTATACAGCGCTAGAGAAATGATGCACGGGGTCTACGGTAACTTTGCCACATCACTCATAATAGTAGCAATATAGACCCTTTTATTTTTTTATTTTGTTTTAGGAAGCAAAAAAGGTATTGTTGTTATGAGACGCCCCCTTAGCCCTTCACCTCCTCAGCGTTATCAGCAGTATAAGGTTACATACACCCATATACACACACTGGACAATAGAAGTGTCACCCCCTAAATCAGAGTAATAAAAGTAGGCAGATCTTTGGTACTTATAATGCCTGGTCTACTTATAATGTGACTAATGAGTATAAAACCGCTATACCATGGAATTGCATTATTGGTCATGTACATGTCCAGCAAATGTTATTCCTTTCTTCCTCCAATATGGCAAGATACAGGGAATTATCTAACGGTTATAGGTGCAAGTTATTAACCTGAAGAGGCGGAATATAAGCAATGTCAGAATATCGATACAATTGAATTGTTCAGTCAGAACCATGCAGAGGGTCTGGTCTCGGTATAGAAACACTGGATCAAGAGACAAATTGCCTCTGATGGTTCGTCAAAGAAAAACTACTGGCCGTGAAGACCGACGTCTGATTTTGATGTCCAGGTTGTCAAAGTTTTACATTGCTTGTCAGTTGACAACACAATGGAACAAATTCACACATAAGAATCTGTCTGTGAAAATTGCTAGGCGTCGGTTACATGCTCAGAGAGTGTACAGCAGGGTAGCAAGACTGAAACCCCTTATATCGTTACAAAACAGGCAACGTAGAGTAAACTAGGGTCAACAGGATCTGGAACTGGACAGTCCATGACAATTGGTCCTATATTTTTTTTCTGGTGAGTGTCGCTTTTTTCTGACCTCTGATGACAGACGGGTACGATGCTGGCGAACTGCTGGTAAAGCATTTAAACCACATGCACTGAAATTTCGAACCCTGATCAGCATATTTATTATGGCGTGGGGCTGCATCAGCATCCATGGCGTAGGCATATTGATAGCGGTTGATGGAAACATTAATCACTAGAAATATATCGATGTTTTGGAGTCAGGCTTGCTACCATCTATTACTAACATGTTTGGTGACAGGAATTATCCATTTGTTCACCAGGATGAGAATGCTCCTTGTCACAGGCCCAGAGCAGTTGATGATTGGTTTGATTAACAGGACATTCGCATGGTGGCCTGCCCGGAGTCCGGATGCAAACATAATAGAAAATGTGTGGAATGATATGTCAAAACCTTTTACAAATGCCCGTCTAACCAGCAGAGAAACTCTGTGATATTCAGTGCTTCATGCTTGGGCCAGCGTAAGCCCTGAACGCATCAGACAATTATATGAATTCTTGCCTCGTAGACTGGCACCTATTATTAGGTCACGTGGGTATGCCACCAAGTACTTATTTTGGACTTGAGACTGCATATTTTGGTAGAATGTATATATTGTTCTCATTTTGTGATTTTTTGTGAAATTTGATGTTAATAAAATGATACCAGGAGCATATCATTCCACAGTCATTTATCTCCCCCATAGTATTGGTTCAGTAGGGGTGACACTTCTATTGTCCAGTGTGTGTACTAGCTTAGTGTACAGCCACTTATGTTCCCAAGCAAATCAAACAATATGACATATGGCTGAATGTTTTCATAATTTTTTTCTTTCGTAATGCTAATGTGTTCCTCTGTTCTGATAAATTCCGAAAATAAATTTGCTTTGCAAGATTAAGGAATTATTATCTGAATAGTTAAATTTTCAAAGCTGCCAAAGCCTGCTCAACTGAGAGTGATACTGTGCCGCCGGAAAGTAACCTTACCAAATGCCGCATGGATACCCAACCCGGCCCCGTATGGTCGAACAATAGAGACTGCATGATAATTACAAGGTAGGAGAATCGGCAAGTAATCCTGATCGGACAACCAAATTATACCCCATTCACACTACAGTTGCAAAAATGCGCATTTCTATAATTCGGATTTTTCGTGAGAAATCAGATTCGGTATTGCGTTCACGCTCGCGAAGCGAAACCGAATCCCACGTTGAAAATTTCAGGTTTAACTTCCTGTTTTGAACACTCGCGCATGCGACGCACAGGAAAACTCAAAATACCAACAAAAAAGTGTGACGGCAAATGTATCTCAAAAAGAGATTCCAGCATTCTTGAGAAGCATAAGATGGCAAAATATGTTTGTTTCCTCATGTTGTAGTGAGTGGTGACCTCCAAATACGTTTGGTGCAATCGCTAAAGTAATAAACAAGCGTTCATAGATACCCGCACTTATCTACACACATGCGCAGTAAGATCTGTACAGGTGTCGATTCCGGTAAGTTAAAGGTACATACGAACCGAGTATTGGTGGAGTGTGGATTCCGAGTAACACATGTAAACCACTTCTACTAGATTCTTATATGACTCAAATAAATTCGACATGCCAAGGGATAAACTGAATAGATCACTCGATCAGCCATAAAAGACCTTTAGACTGCTCCTTTCTTTAAATTTATGGTTGTAAATTTAACCTACTTCCGTGACCTACTTTCCTGCCCCATTGACATACAGCTTAGAATGCCAGCAGAAAAATCTGTTCAAACATCATTTTCGGGTAAAATTAAACAATGCCTTTTGGTAATTCTCTTAGTTATACTACTTGAAACTATATGCTGACATTTGGTTGGTTTTTGTGACAAAAAATTGACTTTGTATGCATCTTTAATAATCTTTATTGGAGAATCGCAACCCGAAGGTCGAAGTTATACAATTATGTTATAGGAAAGTTTGGCGTAGCCATTTTATGGCGACAACAATCTCCAGAGCTTATTTATGCACATGTGCATTCTGCACATGCTCAATTGTGCCCTAGAGGGGTAATCTCCTTTGAGGCACATGTTGCTACTTATACCATGGGGCATCACTGCCTGGCCTCATTTTGCTTGATTTATTCTGTTCACGAGCATGATACAATTAAGCTACAAGTTATCTCAAATCTGCAACTGAAATCTTCAGTTCAAAAAATTTCATTTTACGGAGGAGACATAAACAATTACATATGAATATTCAAGTCAAGGAAGCCTGGTCATGTTTGCACTGGTGCACTCCGTAGACGGTCTCACCTCCCTGGGGAGCATACAGCTTGGCTGCCATATTTGGCGCTCATAGCTAATATATCATTTCTGCACTGCTTGACCAGGCCCCTGCTTCAACCCCTTAGTGTTTGGCTATGCCACTAAGTACTTATTTTGGACTTGAGACTGCATATTTTGGTAGAATGTATATATTGTTCTTATTTTGTGATTTTTTGTGAAATTTGATGTTAATAAAATGATACCAGGAGCATATCATTCCACAGTCATTTATCTCCCCCATAGTATTGGTTCAGTAGGGGTGACACTTCTATTGTCCAGTGTGTGTACTAGTGAGTGCTGAGTGCCAAGCGGGGAGACAGCAGGTACCGTTTATAAAGGACTGGTATGTCCGCAGACGGGTTTTGAACCCACGTCCTCCCGCTCCGGAGGCGGACACTCTAACCACAAGGCCATCCGGTCGGTTAAGTTATTCGGTTCGCGTTGAGAAATCCACCTCGCTTGCAGGATTTTGAAAATGCGCAGTACAGCAAATCCTCTTGCGTTCACACTACTGCATTTATTCGAATTGTGACCTAATTCGCAACTTATCCGGATAACTGAGCGTATGTGAATGGGGTCAGTTCAACGAACACGCTCTGCACCTTCTAAATTGCTTCACTTCACGACACGGCACGAGCAAACAATACCGGGTTATATTGTATCTACTGCAACAGAAAACTAGAGGAAATACCAAGTCCTTCGTTGTATTAATATTTCTTCAACACATGGTAAATTGCCTGTCACGACACTTTATGGTCTTCATTTTTCATATTTGTAGTTATGTCTTTAATTTGCACCCCTTGTTCTCGGAGGCCAATGATACCCAACGTTTATAATAGCTAAGAGGCATCTTAAAATAGTGATTATTTGGAAAATTGGAGTGTAGATTTATACCGTTTACTTGGCAGGTGACACGATGGCACAGTAATAAGTGATATAAAGATGTCATATTATACATTTAGGCCATTTAGGGAGTCCATATAGGCAAACAATCTTATTGGCACGTGTCAGTTGATTGATGATTAGGTAAAATTGAATAGTAAGGAGTGTCACACAGTTGTGATTGTGTAATAGTCAGAGCTTAATCACCATGTTTACCTGGCAAGCATTAAATTAACCTGAAGTTAATTATTTTGAGATGACACGAGCCAAACAGTGAAGTTGACCCAAGAGATGGTAATCCAGCTTCTTAAATTAATTTTCCTTATTGCTTTTAGGTATGATGAAGGCTTCTGATTACGTTTGGGGTTTAAATCGTAAACATTAACTATTTCTTGAACTACATAGGTACAAAGTTCAAATCAAGCAACAAAAGAGAAACATTTTGTATCAAAATTTAAGCTATCTAATTTCTTAAATAATATTCTACGCGTATTTAAATAAAATTCTAAATCTAATTCGAAGTCAGACCATTTAATGTACCTGATTATTTTTAAATGGGACATTTTAAAAGCAAGCCAGGCATCATTAACTAATTCATGGACACTTGAACTAGACCTTTTTACGAAAAAATAGAACTGTTCAGTGGCTTATTTCTTTTATGTATAGGACAACATAGATATTGCTCAATGGCTTCTTGCATTCTGGTATATATTTCCCTGGATTTCTCTTGGTCTACACACTATTCACATAGCACATACTATAGTCACACAGTATATCACCATGGAGACAAGACAAGAGAAGTTAAATTGTTTATAATATGTATATAACAATGACGGTATGAAGCCTAATAAATATTACATGTACAAGTACGAGTAGTGTTTTATTTGGTCTTTCATTAATTCATTACTTCATTTATTCAACTATATAATTCAATCAATTCATATCCAAAATATACACGAAAGTTGCTTTTATCACCGAATCTTTTTGGTAAAGTCACTTTTAAAAATCAATGTTGGCAGGTTTTTATACTTAAGATCTATATATCAGAGTAGAGTGATCAAATCAGAGTGAAGGCAACGCGGACGATCACTTATTTGCGACCATGCTCAGCATCAATCTTTACCTCAGCGAGATAGGGTTATGCTATTTTGTTAGCAGAAAGTAAGACATGATAATTACCCAACCGTGCAGGGCATGGCACTATTGTTAACAGAAACCAAACAGCGCATGGATGACAATGTTTTCCCTGGTTACCGCGCCAGACCCTATGAACAACCCGCAGGTTACTTTCCGGCGGCACTATATTTGTATCATGATAATTTATCTATCCCAGAGTTTGCCCTTTAGTTTCATCTGACATCTACAAAATTCAGTCTAATTCATAAGTCTACTTGAAACTACCATCCTCTCAATGGCGTCAAACTACCAAAGTGATCAATTAACAGTTTATAATGACATTTGCTGTGCACGAGCTTTTGTTTGTCTATGACGTCATCCATTACAATTGATCACTTTTGATTTTTGAGATCAACTTTGACCCACGTGCCAACTTTAGAATTCACATCTTCAAAGTCCACAACGAAAAAGTCATCGAAATCGTTTCCTTCGTTCCCAGACTGTCCAGTAGTGAAGTATTCAAGAAATGATAAGTACTGGTAGATGTCCCACATTGAAACTTCTTCCTTAAACAAAATACCATTCGTTGAAATATGTGGTCATAAAAATGAAAATAATGATAACGTTTTTCATTTATTTTAGATTATATCCAATTTTTAAAAAACATGTTATATGATGTACCGTAAAATAACATAATAACCAGAATACACAAATTGAAAAAAAAGAACATCAAATTTGCCTTAGAATTGCTTTACCTGTGCACTAGAAACAGAGTGGGAGAGGACAAAATAATCCCTAGCCCTTTTTTTTCGCGTAAAAAAAGCGATATTAGGACCCCCCTCCCTGACAGATACTCACCGGACAATTCCCTCCGGACAACTCCCCCCGGACGACCCCCTCCAAGGAATATATATTTATATATACATACCGGCATAAAGTAAAGAGTATAAAGGTCAAATTATTTCATCTATTTTATTTATATTTTAGTCTGATAATACAACTTCATCATCAAACAAATTATTTCATAACAAATTCCTTCTTTATTGAGTACAAGTAAAGAAAGTATTATTTAATATCTAATCAAAGAATAACCATCTATTTTCCAGGTAAAGCTGGGGTAAACAGATAAACACATAAAATATTTAATGAGTATTTTAGTGTGGTGGGTAGTGGATATGTGGCTAGTGGTCAAGCAATTAAACGTGACATATAACCAAAGGGATACCAGGATAAGTGAGAAAATATGTTTATCCCACCTCTCCCAAAAGATGCACCTTGATTCAGGGCTTACTAAATTAATTAAATGAAGGGGGGAGCAACGAAGCAATTAAAAGTACTAGTTTAAAATTCATCAAAGGGTAACCTGGAAGTGTGAGATCATTTGTTTACCCCACTTTACCTGGAGATGTACTTTGATGAGATTTATAATAAAATTTCTGTACTTCTATTCCTGAAATGTTCTGAACTTGCACTCCATGAAAATAATTTATTTAATGAAATTTATAATATCTTTCTTCGAGTTGCATCATTATACTAAGAAATATTCATACAATGGATGAAGAGGGGGGGGGTGATTGTCCATGGAAAATTGTCTTGGCTCTGATAGCATTAAAAGCAATTGGAAGGATTGTAGGAACCATTACCTTCAGAATGCACGGTTTTGCTTGTTCACGCATAATCTCTCGGACCATTCCTCGCAGCTCCCCCAAAAAACATAGTACGCTATTTGGTTCAGCAGTGTCGACTATACAAACACGATTTCTGGCCAGTTCTCCTTTCTCCTTGAAAGCCTTTGGCAATGAATCCATGAAAATTTGCTTTTGTTCATTACTGAGAGTTGATCGACCATCGTGGATAAACACAAAGATGGCCCTCTTCAAAAATGTCCCAAAGAATTTATCATCTAAGAGGTCTATAGCCTCTATTTCTGTTGATCTGACTCTTAAATTATATCTTAACACGTATAAAATTGCGTCGACTTGCTGTACGCCTTCTCGTTGGCGACGGATGGTCTCCAGTATGTGCTCTTTGGGAAAATCTAAATCTCCAATTCCAGGGGAATCAATAAGTGTTAATTTCCATGTGTCATTTGCAGAGCTTTTTATGTCCCCGTGAAGTACACAGCTTTCGGTCTGATCAGGGCAATCTGATTGGGCAAGAAGAGCACGAGCCAGAGACGTTCTTCCGTGCCCCTTTAGACCGACAAGCATTACGCTTAAGTGTTCAATGTAATCTGAAAAATAATACAATCACAAATTAATTTATATTAAAGCTTTTGAGTGATTTACCTTGGATATTCGTTTGGAAACTGGGAAATGGCAGTTGGTTCCAAGAAAAAAAATGCTATGCTATGATCGTTAAATATAATGTTTTAAAAACATCGATAAATAGAATGAGATCAATGAATTTCGTCTACTGGACCTGTTTACATAGAAAATCGCATCTTTAGTCATTTTTACATCTTTTTTTCTGTCCTTATCTTAGTAAGACAAAGAGAACATATCAACAAGAAGGAGAGGGAAAGAGGGTATTACAATAAAGAAGGGAGTCAGCGATTTACAAATAGTGAGAAGATGGTGGGCAGAAAATTTATTTTAAAAATATTAAATACATAAACCCCCTTATATAAACACACACACACACACACACACACACACACACACACACACATTTTCATAATGGCGTTTGCACCCTACATTGTTTCTACTTCCTCACCAGTCATAAGACATAGCATGCCCTTTCCTTATAGCGGGGTAATTGAATGTACACGCAGTCACTTTACTCTTTATCGCGACATGAACATGTATCGTACTGCCCTTAATGGCGTCCCATAGCTTTTTACTAGATGATGCAAGGTAATGCCAGATACCCCCAGTATGTAATCCACTGAGAGGATATAGAGAAGGCAGGAGCGGGGGCGGGGGTGGGGGTGGGGGTGGGGTCAAATCCCCAACTACTCCCATCCCCTACCCTACTCCCCCATGGGAGGAACTTTTGGAAAAAAACGGCGCAATACCTGGATATCTTATGAAAC